GAAAACAAGGAAGTGCCGAGTTTCAGTTAAGTGAGAGAGTACTTCCAAAAGTCAATGAACACGATCATTAGGGGACATTATATCCAACAAGGGAATCAGCCTGTCTCAATCCCATTTATTGGTAAATAAATGGTGTTAAATTGACAGCGACGTCCAAGACCTCACGCGTGCCCAACCGTTGATTTAGTTGCGCTGGATAAATAACTTTGACATGACGTTTTGTTAGCAGAACACTGCAAATATCTTCGTCTGCAGTTAAGAACCAGGTATTATGTCTTATTTGTTGTTCAGCTAGTATAACAGCCAGTCATGACAATCCACGGCATTCAACTGACCAAGCGTTATTCTCTCAGTTATTTGATCAATTTCAATTTATCTAGTGCAGCAGACCTAAAACAACACGTTTTGTGAAAGATCACTGAGACCACTCCAAACTTAGCACAGATACGAGGACATTTCTCGGTGACTTCGGTTCTCTATTTTTTTAATCAGTACGGCTTCGCCTAATTCTCACTAGGTCACGCACAAGATTAATTTGCAAATCCTATAATGATTTATGTATCAACTCAATCTAGGCAGACCCCCTTCAAGTGACCAGCAAGCTTTGACTGATTTTACATTTGTATCCGTTTTTAGGATACGCTGAAAATAAAAAAGCTGAGAGGATTATAGGCTGAGGAGAGTGTATTTAAATATCACTTTTCCATCTGTATTTTTACCGAAAAACGCAAATATTTAGTAGCTACATATTATATTGAGCAATTAGCGAAGATGTTTACTTTTTGTTCAACCATATAATGCTTGTTCAAAACAAAAGTTCAGTCAGAAATATATTCTATCTGCCAGGTCTTTGCTTACTGGGTGATTGATAGTTAATAACACCATGTTAATATCCAAATGACCTTTCCAGATCACAACTTTTGTCATCTCAGAACATACCCCTTCAATCTGTGATTCTAAAAGAAGTCATGTGCGGATGGTTTAACACTTCGAGTTATGTTTGTCCCTTCCCGCTAGGCTGAATTATCCCTTCTTCTATGTACTACGAACGAAGGTAATCGCGCACCCATTGCCGGGCCAGCCTTAGTGTTGAGTGCGAACTGACTTCATGGAGGTAATCGTTATCTCTCTGTGAGTAATACCTTCAGCGAATTCCACTTCGTTATGCCTTGCAGTTTGCAGTGCGTCCGGGTTTTCGGAATCTAAATCTAGTAATATATCGAGAAAATTTTTACCAAAGGTGAACAGACAAAACCAGGCTTAGTGTGCTATCCTTCAACAGAATCAAATGAACTGTCATTTTCGAGAAATACGCTCATTTGCAAATCAATTTGGTTTTCACGAGAGAGAGAGAGACTCAACTGAATCTCTTGTTTATGATATTCTACAAATGAACGTGCTGCACACAGGCCGCCTCATTATTCAGTTGGCACGATATCCGAGATATCGCAGTATATTTTCATAAAGGAAACTACTCACAGGGTTGCTGAAAAATCTTCGACAGCCCACGACTAGTTTCGCTCTTCTTGGGGCTCATCAGGTAGGCGCAGCCCCCGAGTTCCCGTCAACCTTGTGTTCCACTTGAACCCAAATTGGACTGTTTTCGAGGACTACACTCATTTTCAAATCAATTTGTCATTCTGTTTGCGTCGAAAGCATAACTCGTCAGCGAATACTATTCGTGGCTACCAACACCGAAATGTGACTGTAAAGCATTACTGGGTGAATCCATAAGGTCACTGTTATCCAGGAGATCATCGGAATGGCTTTATTGGCTATTCGCACTAAATCGGGATAGGTTTTCTTGCAAGAGTTCTACACACACGGAATCGAAGTTCATTATTTGTTCACTGTTGTTCCAAACCGAGTTGGAACAAAATAAATGCACTTGATAAAACGGATGGCCCGATTTCATTCAACCAACTGCGATCGTCTATATGTCTTGAGTTTTCTCAGTGCTGTTGTTCCTCGAAACAACATTCGACTTGGTGGGAGCGAAATGCCAGCGAGAGACCACGTAATAATACAGTATCTGTGAAAGTCAGTGTTCATACGGATATTAAGACGTTAAATCTGGCAAGGTGTGACATCCAAAGTGAAGGTGTAGTATCTTCAGTGAAAAGAACACTTGCCTGACCCTTTTTACACATGACTTATGACCGTACTTAGGTCAAGTTCACCAGGATATTTTTCACTTTTCGAATTCACACAGGTAAACTAACCGTTTCGTTGCCTAAGCGTTCAGATACTTTTCAGCAGAAATCATAAAGCTTCAGAACAAGGAATCAGAGAATGTGGAAAAATCTCCTTGGATAAGAACTGCTTACTGGATAGTGTAGCTTACTCACTGGCTTGAACTTTCACGGTGGCGGTTAGACGCCAGTATGTAGTACTGCTATTTTGCTGTCATCAATGAGGTGATGAATCTCATGCCAACGATGCTTTTATTTTACGCGCTTAGTAGTTGGGTTTGTGGATATTGAACCCCTTATCTATTCCGTTTACGTGTCCTGCACATTGTGCTGTAGACGTGTATGACTGTGTTTTATGCTAGTATACTGAGATAACTGCCCTGATGCCGAGCATCATACTATTGGTCGTACGACAAGGCATTTATCAGACGGAATGCGAGAACACAATCCCGTGTCTCTGAGTGGTAGTTTGAAGCAACCGAGCTCAAGTGAAATTGCATCATATCTGGCCAGTACCTCTGAACCGATCGTGACTGGTACGATCCGGACTAATATCGATCGTAGAGGTGGTTGGAATCCGACTTCTGAGCCCACAAATTTGTGCCCAAATAGAACTTGTGCGATCTCTGAACTTGAACTGGCCTGCTAAAATTCCGATCCCACAAGCCTATTTGACATTGACATCATTCACTTGATTCCGCGATACACTGACCTATCCGCCTCTTCCTGTAGCTTCTAGCTCACCAAATTTCATTTACCTGCAAACGTGAGCTTTTCACGTGATTTCTGGTACCATATAAACTTACAGTGCACTAGCCAAAGGAAGCAATCACAGAAAACAAGCTTTGTTCGCTACCTTCATTCTTCTCAGGATTTTCACGGGTATTTTCAACCACTTGAGATTATTTAGCCGCGTGGTAAAGACTGGGATTTTGCGGCAGTTCACTTACACTTGGGATGAACACAAAACCTGACATTCAGTTTTTCGCAGGCTTGTATAACCACAAATGCCTAGATATTTCACCAACGTTTCCTGTCCCAGTGCACTATGTACGTTAATGATGGGTAAATAAAAGATAAGACCTGCGTTATGCTACTCCAAACGCTGTCAAATAGGCGGCCAAAATAGAGCATTCCACAAGTGTCCCCCGCCCCGCGAAGAACTGCTGATACGAGCCATGACCTATTTGATGGGGACTCGTGCTGTCTGACTTGAATTCTGTGCGCCTTCGCAGAGACAAACCTTAAACTTTGATTTCGAAAATTGAATGGGTACCCACTCAACCCCTCACTGACGATGTCACCTCGATTGGTGATGAAACCTTTGCAATCCAACTGCTAAGCTTGGCGAACAGATCAACAACCAATATTAATATCAAACAACCGGTCGGATGCATGTGCGATCTAACTGCGAGTTCGTACGTTTATGGTGGTAAGGAGCTTACGACTGTTAGCGCTTATCGATCTCTACTGTATAGGACGACAACCCACAAAAAAGTTTCTCCTTACGCTCGATGGGTCATTAAAAGCTGATTGGTTTTTGTATCATTTTTATTGAGTTTACTCGGGAAGGCTAAGCTTCTCCGTTTGTGAACTATGCAGCGCGATGGCCTGTACCAAAATGAGCTTACACTGCTGACTGGTGGAGATTACTGCAACCATAGGATTATCAAACAGAACAACTCCAGATTGCAGCACTCCTCGCCGCAGTTCACATTCGAGTGACGTATTATGTGATAAAATCAAAATTTCAGAGGTGAATGTTTGTGCTGTCGAAAAAAGTCTCAGAAGAAGCTCAATTATGTACATGAGAAACCTTTGAACCTGAAAATACAGGCCTACTCTGCACTTATTGGCACAGTATTTCTGATGAACTTGGGTAGCAGTTTAGATAACTGGATCCCAAATCTTAGTATGGATGATTACCAACAATCAATAAATTGAGCAAAATTTGCGTACTGTGCTTCCAACCGAAGTGGATAAAAAAATCGTTCAGCTGTAGCACCCTTTCGGTGCCTAACTTCCATGCCACCCAAAGGAAGCACGAGGACTGATATACTCTCGGGCTGCCCAAGCCTAGACAGGGAAAGTCGAGAGACAGAGGTCGGGTTCGAACCTCGGAACTTCCAGTCAGTAAATTCACGCTCTAACCACTTGGACTATCTCGTGGATAAACCACGATAATCATGCCAGAACATGAGATAAACTGTTCCGTACAAATCTCCCGACCACCCGCAAAGACTGCAAGTACCAATAAAAGTTCAGCTCTGTTCTTTTATTTGTTAGTGTAGAAACACAGCAAGACCAAGGGGAGAACATACTGACGGATGTAATCAAAAACTGTCGGACCAAAGAGAGAGAGAGAGAGAGAGGGACCTCAAAAATTCATGGGAAAGAAGTCGTAAAGGGTCGATGAGAAGATAACTGGAATCACTTCTACACGATCACAATCGCAATTTGCGTAATAAATACCCTGTATAGCACTTTTGGGGATAAGTGGGATATGCCTAAGTTATTGTCTGGGATTAAAGGTGATCGGGCGAGAGAAAGTGAGAATGAGAGCCCGCGGCTCTTTGTCACGACAATTTCTTATGCCTTGTCATGCGTAATGTGTACGGAAAAGTTCATTTCAACTCACAGCTTCGGGCGAATTGGTATACACAGCATATCAAAGAAACTAACTGAAGTTCACACGAGAAATTGTTTCCATCCCGAAGTTAGAAGCAAAAAACGAAGTCATTAAAATTACCTCCGAAGGTGGAGTTGGGCATGTGCTGCTTATCCAGCAGACTGGCAAACAAATAGAAATCAGTTTGTAGCTCCAGTGGCACCAACCATTCGCGAATTTAGGCTATGCATAGTTGTGCCACCTTCACTCCCGTGACTGCTATTACTCTCGGTACTGGCACTGTTTCCCCGGTAGCCACGACCGTTATATCCACTCGGGTAATTGGAACTACTGGTATTGCCCATAATCGTTGAATTGTAGAAAGCAGACGCAGCCTCAAACCCATTTGAAACGCCTGTGGGTAAGTTGCCTCCAGCATAGTAGGCCGCCAATGCCGGATTATTCAGCGCGTAGCCAGTAAGTGGATCGAACTGGCCATAGTAGGAGAATGCTGAGGGGTATGCAGTGGAAGTTAGATTGGAACAGCTCTCAGACCCACTTCCCACTGCTGCAGCAACCGCGGCCGGTAGTAGGCCACTGTAGGACGAGGAGGACATATGCGACCCTGGTTCAGGTCGATCTTGACTGCTCAATGCACGATCACTGTTGAAGAATTCGGACATGAAGGAGTTGTTCGATATGGTGTCATCCACTGGATGTTCACGTGGTACATTCGAGCACTGACTGCTAGAAAAACTGGTGCAAAAGCGTGAACCGGGATCCCCAGGTCCACCCATCGGATTTCCGGCAGAAGCTGCGGCCGCAACGGCTGCAGCCGCTAAGTACATATCGTTTGAGCTAGGATGATTCGGAAATCCTGGGGCCGAAAAAAGTAATGATTCGATTAGTTTCACGGTAACATACTGGTCATAAGAAAATCCTGCTCAAAGACATTCGACAATAACAGGATGGTGTGCAACGTACGTTGCCAAATTTCTCGCCACTGTTGCGTTTCTGAAAGTGGGTTTGTACGTTAGTGAGCGGATTCAAGATATGAGTGAACTAGTCACAGAACTGTGCCTGTCTTTCTCATTAAAGAATAGGTAACCGTGCTCCAGTCTTCTGAATGAAATCGAATCTGAGTGTATTTTTCTTCCAAGACTCCGGGGTAATTTGAATCTCCGCGATCCAAACCAGTGGGACGCAAAGGCAAACTCAAACAGGCTTTAAACTGTTCAGTAAGTTCATCCACTATGGTTGCTTGTATACGAACCCCAAATGGAAAGAACTTCTATCCAATAGAAAATCATTTCTACGCGGAGTGACAATGATAGCCTCATTGAAAGGCACTAGGGTGTACATTTTTCGGGGAAACGTATGCACATCAAAAGCAGGTGCTCCAACAGCGTAAGCATCCAGAAAGGCAAACTGTGCTCTATAAAGTCGCAAACTTTACAAGTGAAACGTGACTGACTACCACCGGTGCTACTAATCAAGTTGCCTGTGAGGCCCCATTTTCTTCACTGTTCAACTCCTATGAATGTCTACACAGACTTTTCATTTCAAAGCAATCTTTTCACTTAGCTCTACTTAACGGTTGAGTCTTCTCTAATATATTTCTGGTATAAGACGAACACACACTAATAATCAAAATAGTCACAATTAAATGTAAAATTAGAAAAAAACACTCGCCGAACAATGGCCACGCACAGAAGCTGCGTAAACCGTCCTAGATCCCATAGGCATGTAACGGGATGTTCCACATTATAACTGTAATACATAGGATCTCCTTTGTGACACCGTAAACGCAATAAACTTAATCGCCCAAAAAATCTATAATTTTATTAGAAAATAACTCCACCAGAAAGCATTTACCACACACTGAACTGACTTGAAAGGCAACGAAACCCAAAATTTCGAAAGAATCATCACATCGTTATATGTTGTAAAAAATGAGGCATCTATGTGTGCCCTTTTTATGTGAAATCAGCTGGTTAGTAAAATTCTTCCATAACGTATTGTGTCTCCTCTATAAACATCATCATCACCCATAGAAGACAATTCTCGGTTGACCCCTCGAAACATAATCCACTGGCAAACTGCCTCCTAGAGAGGACCAGTTTACAAGAAGAAACACGTTCAACCGGTTCTTTACAGTGGCTCTTCAAGAGTGACGATGTAAAACGTTCTTCTGGAGGAGCGATATTTGATCAGCTTCGTCAAGTGACCTTCCTTAGGCTAAAAAGTGTGGCAGGCTTGTCTATTCTCAAGAATCTTACAAGAATCCAGTTTGACATTTGGTCTTCCTTGCATTTGATGGAGGAAAAAATGAGACCCCATCTGTCACATTTAACAGATCGCAGGAAGGCTGAAAGTCGATAAAGTAACACAAGAATGAAGGAAGTATAACTGTAGTTTTTCGCAACTCACACTGTCACGTTTTTGTCATCTCTCAACGTTGATAATGCGCAAAATTTTCCCATTCATTTTATTCCGTCGTTTACTTTCTATCCACTATCCTTGAGTCAGATTAGCCTTTCCTAGTCGCGCCTATCACCTTGACACTGGCTTTTGTACTGACGCAAGCTATTTCTTGGCAGCAAAGCTGTACGTTAGACTTCCTTCCTACTCAAGGTCTATCGACAATTGCGAGTCACAGAAAAGGAACGAGGGTGGAACCGTGTATGTCATGGATAGGGCAGGGAGGTATTTCACTGGTCCCATCGCCAGAAGTTGCAAAGATGGCGCCCTGATGAGGTTTGGCTAGCTACCACATTGAGGTAAACGAAATAAAGGTGTGCTCTGCCGTTGGAAAACTGCTGACTGAAAATGTCTCATTGCGTTTAAAACAGAATTGATACATCTATTCCTTGTTTATACAAACTTCACCCACAAATCCACCAAGATTCAAATACTTGACAAGGTAGGACCTTTGGAAAATCGGGAGGAAAAAGTGACAAAATGTAACTACAAAAGTAATTCTTGTTGACTCTTCAGTGAGTTGACAAGTTGATGTGATACTGTTGTGGTAAACAGTGTGCATCATCTTGACTAAAGGAGTAAAATGTGTGAAATTCACCTTAAATTATCAATAATGTCTGGCTTAAAAATACTGCCTTGTTGTAATTCTTGTCAAGGCTAAAGAAAGTCAGAGATTAAACTCACCGGCTGCTGCAGCTGCTGCCTGCGCAGCACGTGTGTACGCGGCGTACGGAGTTCCTTCCATGTAATTTACACAAGACGGAGCCGCTTCAGCGGGTGAGTAGGCATGGGGGCCTGCGTTGAAGACAGAAAACCACATAACGTTGAGTTAAGCATAAAGAGACCGGCCACGTGAAACTGTGGCCGTCATAATGTATTTTCTGAAGTTGTGTTTTGTTGCCTCCTCAAAGAGGCGCGCTGCTTACAGCTGAGGCTCTTCGATGTGAGATCACTCCACTGAAGAGACAAGCTACACTTTTCGGGCTACAAATATCCTAATGTTTGGAATTTACTCAGAGAGTGATTATCATCAGTAGGAGACAAACATACACTTCACCACCTGACGGAATTACCGGTTTCAGGATGGGAACTGAGTTCTTTTTAAAGCTAAGGGTTTATCAAAACCTGAGTACATACAGCCATTTGCTCAAAAAATATAAACGATACTACTTACTCCTGGCAGTTCACCGTGCTGGTTCAAAATTCACTTCTTGCTTGAATTCAGTCCGTTGGAAATAATCTGGTAGACAATTGGTTCGAATCTCAAGTATGAGATAAATCATGATTCTACCCTGGAATTTGAGTAACTCTATATTGGAAGGAAAAGAAGCGCCATCTATCTTTTTCAGCCTTTCGAGCTCACATGCACGACGGAATTTTCGGGACCGGAGCCTGGATTAAATATCGTCGTAGTATATCGGTATTCTTACGCTTAACGCGCCTTTTTGTAATGTCTTGAGATTCCTTTATTAGGAGCCATCAATTATCTCCAGGGTGACTGGCAACTGAACCTCCAACAACAACGTAAGCACTCTAAATGCACCGCTGTTTTCATAGCTAAACGGGTTAGCGTGAAATTTGATTGATGTTGATGCTGTGCCATGTACACCGAAAATTGATCTAGCTACTCTCCTGCCAGTCCCATAAATACAGAAACCAACTCTGATGCGCTATGGGTAAGCTGGGTGAGTGATGACAGCACACCCCCCTAAATCTAAGATGTCCGGAGTTCATCTTCAATGAAGTCCAAGGATAAGCCTGGGCGAAAATTGAGTTCCACTTTTCTAAACTAACGAATATTGTCCCACCAAGATAGAGGGACTTTTCAAACGGGGCTGATGTAAATTCAAATGTTACAAACTATTCGAATGTCCGCCATGAACTCGTTTTCATAATATACAGCAGTGTCGTCGGCACTTCAGCGATCGACAATAAAAACTGGCTGTTAAGTGAATACGCAGGAGGTGACGTATTACCTAAAAATGCACAGGAGAATAGGATGATGAACAACAAATTTAACGAATTAGTAGCTTTTCCTTAAGAAGAGGACAAAGGTCAGTTTAATCTCTGCCGTTGCAGACTCTCTTCGAAGACTGGTATATTCGATCCACCGTCGGCTTTGTCAGGTCGTTGAAAGCTGAACGGGTTGTGAAGTTCTGTGAATTTTTTGAAACACCATGGATACTGATCATAAGGTGGTGTGTAGATCAGAGACCAACTGTCAAAATGATCTGATTTATACTCGCCATGCAGGGGAGGTAATCGGCAAACATGCTTTTAGCGAGCCATTCCCTGTGAAATGCAATCTGCGGGGTCTAGGAAAAGCACCTTTCAAGAGCATACATAATAAACTGAGGCTTTGCAGATGAGGTGAAAAGTGATCTGTTCACCGAGCTTGGCATCTGGACCTGCAAGTGTCTCATCACTGTGCGAGAAGGCACCTTTAGCGTGGATTTTTTTTTTGGGGGGGGGGGGGGGTCCAAACTCCACTGACTCAATTAAGTGACGGTGCTGCCCAAGTATCCAGATTACCCAGTTGAGCTTACGTCGGTTACCGTAAAACTAGTGAATTTGATGTCCACATTCAACGGTTCAGATGAGTAAGTTTTCGCCTGTATGATCCGCCAGGTGAATAAATATAGAACGACTACAGCAAGAGAGCAGAACCGGAATAAGAACGGCAACCCAAACCGAAAAAATCAACTGAAGCCCAAAGAAGGCAAGCTGTTTTTTATCTTGGACAGGAAATGTTTACCTGAGTGAATGCACCACAACACACTTTCATAAAACTGGAAAAACTGTGAGCAGTTGAACATTTATCCAAACAAACTTGCAAAAACTTGCAAACTACCAAGGGTGAACGGCCTATGTATTATTCATGTGATCTTTTAACCAAGTCTAGCGATTAACTCGAGACCTTCATCGTCCCTTCAAACGTTTAACAAATGCTAAGTTTATGGTTCACAACCGGGCTGACGGGAGGGACTTTGGAAGAACCACCATATTAGTACACGGTTTGGAACGACCGGCAGTAAGTTCCAAAAGTGTGCAGAAATCATTCGGACAGTGTGTAAGTTCTTCACAGGCGTCTGAAAGATTGATGTATATTTTCCGGTACTTACCGCTTCTGTTTGACTGGTCTATCATCGGCTGGACAATTCTGCGCCTCGCGTTGATAAACCTGTGGTGAATACCAAACAAATTAACAGTTAACACCTCATAAAATTGAAATTCTATATTTCGTCAGATCCTCATTCTGAGAAACGTAATTATAAAGATTGGGCTAGTTGGAACGTCACCAAGACAGCTACGCGGTCATTGGACTTTATTAGCTGTAGAGCTTCCGTTACTAGGTATTATCATACAGAAATGTAAAGCAAGACCCGGGAACGTAGTAGGTAATATGAGGAAGACTGAGTGTCACAGCCAAACATTGTAAGGCCCAAGAATTCGTCTTTTGCCACTTTAGATTTCCAACTAGCATTTGTGATGGCGACGTGAGCCTTTGCTTCAAGAGCACTAGTCTGTTGAACTCAGAGAATCTTGTTCTATTGACCACTCTTGTTCTGACTGGCTATCGGCTTGTTCAAACACTTTTTCTAGCGATTTACCATTTACTACAAGAAAGCTGATAATCACAAAAGACTGTATAGTCAGCAACCAGACTCACCGTCTACACCAAATTGGACACACTGTCCTAAAACCAAAGTCTGTAACTACTACACCCGTGCTCACCTCAGTGAGCCCTCTATACACATTCGACTAATCTCCAGTGCGGATGAGTGTGAGCTTCACTGAACTGGTCTGCAGGTTACTCAATAACATTTGACTAACTTCCAGGCGCCTGATTTGTAACCTATCACATGGTGCGTGATGACCGATGATAGAAGTTTGATAAGATTACTTTATTAGGATACTACTTAGTTTGCACCAATTGAACTGGTCTGTTCTTAGTGGAAAAACGATGAGCTTCTAACGCAGTGAAAGAAAATAAAGATGTGTCGGAGCCTCTTTAAAAAACTTTAGCTTAAACTCCTTGAACTCATTAAAGAATCTCCTCTTACCTGAAAATTCAAGGCAATCTGATGTTTGCTTTATGTTACCACACCTATGTTCACCTAAAATAAGCATAAACCAACGGATTTTGGAGTAACACTGGAATCTAATGAAGTGCTGACCAGTTTGGCGATACCAAGAATTTGGAACAAGGTCTGCTCTAAAAGGATACTGCCAACAGTCAACGCACAAAATTTTTGCCTTCTAGGAATTTTCCGCACTGTTTTTCGCACGAGTTAACGGTAGGACAGCATTCGAGGGAGTTCGGTGGGTCCCTTGAGGTGCTCGAGTGTTTGACGCTAAATTGAAATATCCTGGTAGGCGCGTCTGGACGTTTCTTGTTCGGCAACAGCATTTGGGCAGTACATGGTCATCTTTGGAAATCTGCTTAGATGAGCTAGGATTCGCATTTACCCACCCCATCAACCTTAGTGGTGTGTTTTATGGTCAAATCGCGGGATATTTCGATGAGAGAAAAAGGTGAACAAACGACACAGTAGCCAAAAGGTTAACATAATCCTTTCCATTCCGACGACTCTGTTTCGGATTTCTACATGTGCACTTTCAGACTGCTTCTGGAGATTCTTTACGCGGACTGTTTCACAAATATGGTGAGACTTACCATTTGTTGCATTTGGAAAATAAGGTACGATGGTGGGAGATTTTTGGACTTTCCATATTTCAATAATTTTCTATCCGAAATAAGTAATGAGATTAACAAACTGTCACAGGGATTGGATGGATCAAAGCTTTGATGGAAGCTTCAGCTGGATCAGTTCACTAAGGATACCTTTGGCTGATGGCACCACGAGACGGCCGATGTCGCATGAGAGTATTGTTATTCGTAAATGTCATGGTTATACGAGGGCTGGGATATTGCCAGGGTGCCCACACCTAGACAGGAGGACGATTAGGGTCTTCAATCAAGGCCTTTGGCTCAAGAGCCTAAGCGCAAGGCAGCGGTGTTGGACTGGAAATACAAGTACACGTCGCCACGTGTTACAACCCCCAACCTGGATGGCCAGGAGACTTTGTTCGTCAGATTTCTACCCTTGGACCAACATAGAATGAGAGATGGTGTGTCGCGCGGATACACCCCAGTATAGCTCAATGGGCCGCTGAGGTACACAAACCGCCACACCACGGTAAGGTCCAGTCTTTTAGTGACCTGAGGCTCCTGTAATAACAAATTTATTACTTCCTTAATTTTAATGAAGCCCATACACTCAACCCATCAAGTTTGTTCAGCTACGTACGACTTCTCAATTTGTTATTATTATTACAAACGGCGCAAAAATTCAGCGATTTTAAACCAAGCGTGTATATTGTGACGAAGTAAGGATTTCTGTCCGCAATTCGTAGTGGACATCAAGAATAAACACCTTAGTAACCTAAAATGCGTCGATCCAGAAGATTGAAGGACTTAGTAAACTTTCTGGGGAATAAAGAATAATCGAGCTATGTAGGGAACCCTATGCATTGTATCCGACACGACGAGGCTTCTAATAAAACAAAGGGGATGGACAGTAGGCCTCCCAACGAGATTTTCTTCGCCTGTAGTATCCACTATATTTAGATACATATTTCTCCTCCGCCTGGAAACATAATCCGTGAACATTCGTACTTCACGGATAACATAGTACCATCAGTTCAAGTATATGATATGAAAGTCGCAGGAGTTCGGATAAACGTACTGAGAGCGGAAAAGTGAAAAGTAAATAAATCGTTTTTACTTCAACCATCTGAGATAGAGTATGGTATCTAGGCAAAGAAAAGGAAGCTTTCTGGGACAATATAACGCATTGGTTCAATCCGTGTAAACTTTGAATCGTGACAGTGAGTATGGCTCGTGATCTAGACGGAATACTGGCACTTGCGAAGAGTATGAAAAACAGTCAAGATGTGACTGTTGAGTGAAAAAGAACGCTAGAAATGAGTGACTACCACCTGTATGGGCCACTCAAGAATGCGGTCGGTATGTGGTTAACAAAACAACCCACCACCTTTGTAATGTACTACTCATAAGGTTGCTGAAAATCCATCGACAGCCCACCACCGGTTTCGCCCTTCTCGGGGCTCATCAGGTAGGCGCAGTCCCCGGGTTTCCGTCAACCTTATGTTCTACTTGAAACCAAATAGCACGAAATTAGCGAATATACACTCATCTGCAAACCAATTTGGTTCTTCCGAGAGACCCACCTGGAACCCAGCTGAATCTCTCGTTTATGAGTCTCTCGAAAGAGCCAAATTAGTTTGCCGATGAGTGTATATTCGCTAACTCACCACCTTGTTTGTTTCGCCTTTTGATATAAAACCGCAGCAGCTTATATCGCCAGAACTATTTAGACACATCCGATATAGTTAACATACAGTTCTCACATTTCTTTTCGGGGCTGAGGAAGCCATATACGCAAGATCTGTGAAAGTGTCTGGCACAGAGTGTGACTGTTGAAAAGTAAACTGGCGTGTGCCTTGAGATATTTGACGAAGGCTAACTCCCAATCACGTTTCATTTTCAAACAACTTTAAAGGCGAAAAATGCAGGTAATCGAGTTCAAGTAACAGAGATATCTATGAAAAATTATTTTCCCTACTGGTGAATGGCCATTTGGACAACACCATAACAGTCACTGAGAATAAGCTGGGAACCGATTTAAGTTTCGTGGTTCCACAGGGTTTTGTCAAACAAGGCGGAATATTCATCAGACAGTTTTAAGGTATAAGGGAATTCAAACACCTGGTGTATCCTGGATTAAACCCACACATTGGTGAAACGTTTTGCTGGTTATTTGTAGGTGACTATGTCTTTCAATTAGTAGGCTGAGAACACGTGAGTTTGGGTTTAGTTTGGGACCATGTTTTTCGAGTATCTGTTTTCAGAATGTGGAGATTTCGTCCTGTAAGTGAATCCAATCTATGCTGAAAAGCCGAGAAGCACTGCACAGCTGTTTCATCCTTATTGGGAATCATCAGCAGTGCGCATGTCACGAGACGTCGCTGCTCGAGAGCCAGTCAACACGTGTGACCGCGTGATGTGGATCCCGTGATTGAAGGATGAACGGCGCTATATCTTGTCTAAATGCGATTTAATCACACCGCTGACCAACCGCCCGTGGGCGACCGGCTGTGTTCAAACTGCCAGCCAGGAGGTTGCGGGTTCAAGACTCTTCGGAGTTTCGTGAGATGCGCACCGCTGATGATTCCCAATAAGGATGAAACAGCTTTACAGTGCTTCTCGGCTTTTCGGCATAGATAGGATTTACTTACAGGACGAAATCTCCACAAATATGTCTTCACACTTATAGCAACGCGACGTAATTTGTGGAACCTGACATTCAGACTCAGGAAGGCCAGTCAGAATCAAATGAAGTGGATTTGCACCTTGAATATGGATGGATTATATGTCTACATCTCGGACCATCCGATTTCCAAAACCAAGGTACGGTGAAAATTACAAACGAAGCTTGTTTTCTCGAAACGAGTAGACGTTTCTCTTGCTCTTCAGCTATGTGTGAGATGGACATACAAAGCCTACAGTCCAGGCTAAAAACCATAGAGAACTTATGTTGGATAGTTTGTACGAGAATTTGACGCAGTGAGAATACCCGCTAACCCAGATAGAAAAGCATTTTGGGTAAACAGATTCGAGAGTTTCGAACTCGCGACCTCCTGGCTAGTAGTGTGAACACTTAACCATTCGTCCACGGGGGGAGTTTCGTGAGATGCGCACTGCTGATGATTGCCAATAAGGATGAAGCAGCTGTACAGTGCTTCTCGGCTTTTCAGCATAGATTGGCTTCACTAACAGAACGAAATCTACACAAAAATTCCAAAGCTCCTCGCATTAGCAACTATTTTCAGACTGTTCATTTATGTGGCTTAGAAATTTATGGAGTGGTTCTGTCAGAAAAAGGGAAGTAAAGTGAATCCTAAGCTGTCTGAGATTTGTACTTCATATCTAAATTATCTCGACTTTTTCTAAATGGGCATGCTGAAGATTTCCATGCACACATGGGGGTAACAAGTAGTCATAACGAAGAAATTTATCGTGTTGAAATTTGTGCAGTTACTCGTGCAGCGCATATGTTTCCAAGATCTAACAGATCCATCCAACTTGTGTATATTTTACGTACACCCAAGAATTCTGAGGGTTTTCTTGAATCAGTAGGCTTATCTAAACCAATGCTTTTTGGCAAGGCATGAACCTATCATCACGGAGATGCTGGATCCTCTCCATAAAGTATGGTTGCTAATGAGGACGAAATACCAGTCATTTTACAAGCACTCTAATTACTGTGTTGGATTATAAACCCGATGTACCAGCTCTATCGGTGCAGTCTGTGAATGCATTAACCACATAACCAGTTTCAGTCCGTCCGTCCGATAATATCTGACGAATATTTGTGGTTTAGATTTTGGGGATACTGCTCCGGCTTCGGGAGTTTTGAGAATTCCTGTGCGCTCTCAGTTGGGATAATTTTTATACTCTATTGATTTACCATCCATCAAAAGCAATTGTTATACAGTTTCTATGGTCATGCAGTATTCGTGGAGACGTTGAAGGTCTCCGCAATGTACGTCAAAACAAATTATTCATCAGCCATAAGAAAATAACGGGACACAACGGCAATTAGTGCACGAATAGGCGGACTTGCTATATTTCATCCCCTCACCTGCGTGGATTTCCGATTTTGATAACGTACAGATAATTGCTAGCAGCAGGTAGACGTTTGTTGCCTCCTCATTTGCCAGAACTTTTAACACTAGCGATGAATGTCAAGATATAGGAGCCGTTGTGAACCCCCACCCGCTCATCCAGCATCTTGCCTACAAGCATCCTACCTGTGCAAGGATCCTCTGTGCAAACGAATTTATCTATAAATCATACCAGTACATACGATGAATCACTCGTGTAACGCAAGCCGCCGCCTTAGTCACAATGTAAGTTCGACCAACTTCGGACGTGTGTATACAAGCCCGGATGCACGGGCGTTCGAGGGCACAGAGTTGGGGAAATGTCAAAGCCAGACGTGGGGATGGGCTAATTGATTGAACGGTATTTATGGTCAGGGTAGTTTGCGTCGAAACCAATTAGGAGTGCATAGGATGGGGTGGTGTACAGAGTGATTAGGTAGATAAATTACGGAAGTGAACAATTGTGACAGACTGAATGATTGGAGACGAAGTTTGGCCAAACAAGGCATTTGGCTAACTGACCGACTTATTTGACATGGATAATACTGTTGTATGAGAAATTTTCATGTGCCATAGTACATGGCATGTAAACCTATCGAGTCTACATGATGGGGATATTTGTGGCTGGGTGATGCTTAGAGGGCCCAAAGTGTGAAGACCCCGAAGTGAGCAACTCGGAGAGAAAATGAAGCTTTTGGCTTGGAAAGAAACTTAACCAGCTGCCGGTAGCGCTAAACGCGATTGAGGATCTTTTTATACGGCGTTTTGTGCAAACTATCAAGTAGGTATCTAGGTCCGTATAACCACAAGGGCAAGATACCTCGTAGGGTCCTTTACCTTAAATAAACGAAAGTCTGGGAATCCGGTGAGATGGAACAAAGTGCGTGCATCATTTTCTGTGCTTACGCAAGCTAGTAGTCTAGCGAGTGACGAGTGGCTACCAGAGTTATACACATCCATAAATATATGCGTAGAGAACTTCAGTTTTGGGAAACAATCAGGTAGACGGCAAAGCTGAGCAAGTAAGGGGGCAACCGATAATTTCAGTGAAATCGATAAAAAGCACTGAAATTATGCACCATAGTGTTAGTGCCAGAACCCTTTTCATCAGTTCTTCAGTTTTGAATCAGCCAGTGTTTCCGTAGATGTCTCGTTCGATTTGTCTTGAACATTAAATTGATCGAAATTCGATAGAATGTGGGAACACTAAAGGACTAAAAAAACTGTAACCTTGACCATGCATCGACTGCCGACGGTTCAAAAGTGCAAAAACCTCAACGGTGCACAGAATGGATGAACCATAGTTTAGAAGAATAGGACGCCGACCATGTTATTCAGAATTATGGGTACTTAGACAATGTTCAAGGATGAAAGCATGATGGGGTAGGACAGAAAACAGCACTGATACCGTTAAACATCAAACCTGTTTACTCAAACTCACCTGTATTATGTTCCACATATTTAATGGTTATCATCTTAAGAAACGAAGGTGTCTCTGCGCACATCCAGCATGCTGTGAGCTCACAACTTTCAAACTTCCACCACTTCATCATCAAACTGTTTTTCGAGATTCTGGTTTTAGTTCATTCAGGGGCACTTATGAGGAAACCTGACTATTTGGGAGCATCGCCATTCCGAACTTTCGGTGATTCTCATTGAGAGTCTGATAAGTACGAAACCCCACCTTCATTATTACTTTTGCTCATCTTCGGGTGACTAATTACCATTTTGTCTTCTTGGTATTTCAGTGACCATACATTCAATCGTATATTACTACTCAAATATTGAAGGACCCACACCGCAGTTAGCTCTAAAACTGATCAGTCAGTTATTTACGTTCAGATATTACAGTATGCCAAAACTACTGTTTCCTACAAATGCTCACCTAATGTCAACAGGTGCTTGCAAAAAGTTGCCGCCGTCTAAAGGTATCAACTCAAAGTCACCTATTGTTTAAAACCCCCACGTCTGAGGGGAACTCGCTACTGAATTTTCTTTATAAGAACCTATCATAAGTGATTATCTCGTAATGGTGCTCTCTAGACGAGGGTCACTGAAGACTGCTCCTATCCTATAAGTTTTTCTCCTATTGGTAATGAGTGATTTGCTGCTTTGAACATTAAATTGATCAAAATTCGATGGAATATGGCAACACCAAAGGACTAAAAAACTGTAACCTTGATCAAGCATCGACTACCGACGGTTCAAAAGTGCAAAAATCTCAACCGATTTGTCTTGAACATTAAATTGATCGAAATTCGATAGAATATGGGAACACCAAAGGATTAAAAAAAAACTGTAACCTTGACCATGCATCGACTGCCGACGGTTCAAAAGTGCAAAAACCTCAACGGTGCACAGAATGGATGAACCATAGTTTAGAAGAATAGGACGCCGACCATGTTATTCAGAATTATGGGTACTTAGACAATGTTCAAGGATGAAAGCATGATGGGGTAGGACAGAAAACAGCACTGATACCGTTAAACATCAAACCTGTTTACTCAAACTCACCTGTATTATGTTCCACATAATTATTATCATCTTAAGAAACGAAGGTGTCTCTGCTCCAGCATGCTGTAAGCTCACAACTTTCAAACTTCCACCACTTCATCATCAAACTGTTTTCCGAGATTCTGGTTTTAGCTCATTCAGGGGCACTTATGAGGAAACCTGACTATTTGGGAGCATCGCCATTCCGAACTTTCGGTGATTCTCATTGAGAGTCTGATAAGTACGAAACCCCACCTTCATTATTACTTTTGCTCATTTTCAGGTGAATAATTCCTCTTTTGACTTCATGGTATTTCAGTGCCCATACATTCAGTCGTATGTTACGACTCAAATATTGAAAAACCTACACTGCAATTAGCTCTAAAACTGGTCAGCCGGTCATTTGCTTACAGACATTACAGTATGCCAGAACTGCTTTTTCCCACAAATGCTCATCTAATGTCAACAGGTGCTTGCAAAAAGTTGCCGCCGTCTAAAGGTATCAACTCAAAGTCACCTATTGTTTAAAACTCCCACGTCTGAGGGGAACTCGCTACTGAATTTTCTTTATAAGAACCTATCATAAGTGATTATCTCGTAATGGTGCTCTCTAGACGAGGGTCACTGAAGACTGCTCCTATCCTATAAGTTTTTCTCCTATTGGTAATGAGCGCCCTTGAAAATGTAGGCACCAAAAGAGCATGACAGTTTACATAATAGCAACATCTCCAAGCACTCACCAATTGTTGACTTGTAATATGGTCAGTCCAGTATCTTGTGCCAACTGTTTTTTCTGCTCCTCCGAAGGGTAGGGATGCTGGACATTTTTAAGGGATAAAAACGATTTCCGACATTAATTTTTCCGCAAAAACAGGCAAAAATGCTTTTATCTGAATAATATATTCTCGCTTTAGGCACAGTTTTCATGGAAAACTGGATTTAAATTGGTTATTCGTACTTTATGGTGATGTCGATCAACTTAGAACAAGGAAACCAACCACAGTGTATGCTACTAATGCGTTGTTGAGGAATACAAAGTTATACAACAGTATAATTGATCTTCATCAACTTATTTCATCAACTAGTCCGGTTGTAAAGTTAGATGTGAGATACAGTTTCGAATGTACCTCTAGCGAGCTTGTTGCGGCACCTTCAAATACCGCGGGGTCAGTGTGGATAGGAGCCAAATAAACTATCTCCCAAGTAAAAAAAGTCATGATTACTCACACAATGCAGACAGACAGAGTCAACGGTTGAACTACCACAACTGCCGGTCCAAATTATACTACACACCTGAAATATGAATACGTTTGTGCTGATGTCTTACTCATCGCAGATGACTGACTGATACCAGTGTCCGGGAGCAACTGCTGATTTCTTGGCCACAAATCTAGAGAAGCGACATGGAGTTCAGGCCCAGCTGTTACAGTCGGCCAAGCCAGTGGCTAAGGGTTTCCTCCCGGAATCACTGTCTTTTGATTCCCGATCAAACACCTCCAAGGTATCTTGGCATAATTTTCTGACGCGATTTACAAGATCTGTGTCAAACTTTTGTAGAAACACTCTCCTCTTTACCTTATGTCGTAATCTCTACTCCGCACCAATGTATTTTGAAGTTCACTGATTCATTCTAAATGGAATAATTCCCCCGTCTCAGAGAAAAACGAGGGTTAATGCATTTCCCCTTAGTTGACTCAACTGCATTATCATGATGAAACAACGGCTGGTCTTTGTCTTGGAGTGTGACTGAAGAAATCCTTGGGCTTCGCGTGTGTTGCGCTCAACCCAGGATCGCTTAACTCAATGGGTGTGGGCTTCATGTTATTTAGCACTATTCCTAAGCAAGTATTATGACCTCTTGGGAGTATTGTGCGTACGAAACCATATATCCGGTTCATATGTTCAGTGAGCAGTGCGAGGTGCCCAAATACTGACTATTCCGAGCCCAAGAAATACTGGTGGCTCTAACGATGATTCGGAGACTCATCGTCTGAGTAAAGAACTTATGTTGAACTAATTTCATCCGTATTATTATGTATATCTATATATCGTGCCCCCGCCTCACAGTTAGGGACAGCTAATGGATGGCAGCGAACTAAGCCTCCACTCTGACATTCATGAAAGCACATTCCCATTCATGGTCGATCGAGCCAACTAGATTAACTGCGCTCGCTAATAACTAGTGGAATGCAGCCAAGTGTGTTCGTTGTTTTCCACCACTGAGGCGATTGTGAGCTAAGGCGGTTGCATTAAAAACTCGTTCATCGAAAATGCTTTTTCTAGTGGGACATTTAGCTCAACTGTCGTATTGGATCTGTCATTGATAGACACGCCTGAATGCCTGACCGAATGATTTTCCAACTGTGTGGAGTGATTAGTCTTATCCATTTATAGAAGACCTCGTGCAGCTGCACGGGGTGCAGCAGAAGATAATAGTTAGTGGGAACTCATTTTTTCCGCCCATTTGATTTGGCTCGGTTAATAGGCTAAGATGAGTTATCATTTGTATCACTCCATAGTTTGCTTTTGTGAATGAAAGGCTTCACCAGTCACTTGAAAACTGTACGAAAAATGCACAAAAAGCACAACTTGGTATTTGATCGGCTCGTAATCACACTCGATCATTTTATTTGTAAGTCATCGTGGACAGTATCTATTAATTGGGCAGTCATTGTCCATAGGAAGTCGTACACTGAGAGGAACCTTATGGTTAGCGAGATACTCATTTGCAAACAAATTTGGTTTTGCGAGAGACTCACCTGGAACCCAGCTGAATCTCTCGTTTGTAATGTGCACTACGTCTACAAAACCCGAGTATTGTAACAAGTGAAACATGAGGAGGCCTGATGCGGCATATTCTCTTGTCTGGAAACATCACAAACGAGAGATTCAGATGAGTTACAGGCGAGTCTCTCGCAAAATTTCAAATTAGTTTGCAACTGAGTGTATTTTGCTTATTTCGTGCAATTCGGTTCCAAGTAGAACATAAGGTCGGCGGAAACTCGGGGACTGCGCCTAACTGATAAGCCCCGATTTGGGCAAAACCGGTAATGGCCTGTCGAAGAATTTTCAGCAATCGTATGAGTAGCACACTACGAATATGCATGTATCGCGATACCTCAAATATCGTTTTAAATGAAACGTGAGGCGGCCTGTTGCAGCACATCTAGTCGCCTGGACGCATCACAAACGAGAGGTGCAGCTTGGTTTCAGGTGAGTCTTTCGCAAAACCAGATTTGTTCCCAAATGAGTGTGTATATATCTTAGTTCAAAATGTCGTATAGCATTGAATGACATGGCTGCATGATTATTCCCCCTCAAGTGTAAACAGACTATTGGACTTACTGAAGTTTCTCTAGATTCCTGAACAATCAAGACAAAGTACCTATCCACTCCGCCCGCAAGATTGACGAAAACCCATCGACAACTACTAGCTATTTCATTCTCCTCGGGTCCATCAGCTAGGCTTAGTTCTCTTAGTTTCTATCGGACTTGTGTGTAAGGTGAAAACCAAGCTGTGCGAAACTGGGGAAGCACAATAATTTCTCAACTGCGTTGTGTCGCAAATTCGCTCCAAGTATATCAGAAAACAACCAAATGAGGTGGGATTCATTTGAGTTTGCTTTAACATCAACTCGGTTTGGAAATGACTGTGCTTCGACAATTTTACATTCTCCACAAAGTGTTGGTGTGGTGAAAATGAAACTGCCCAAAACACGATCTATTTCATAATAATTTCGCGCCTATATCAAAAGTACATGAACTGCTAGGCGGCTTCTTCAATGCTGCGAACTGTTCTGGTAGATGTCTATAACTTCAGAACCTGAGCATTTTAGTTTAGTTGCATTCACTCTGTTGTGCTACTCATTCTTCAAGTCACATAATCTTCGTCGTATGAAGTTCCAGAGAGAGATATAGTGAGAAATGCACAAACAAGCTGTGATATGTTCTTGTTTCCGAGCAAATAATGTGGAAACCGAACGTTTAGCTTCCTCTCGAAGGCAGGTGTCCCCTTATCAGATGAGATAGCCGAACAGCACCCCCCTCTGCCCATGATGACCATTCATCCATTGTCAGTCATTCACCGTTTACAGCAAAAGTCTAGATAAATGATGTGTGGCCATGTAGAAATCGACAGTTTATAGCTCATTTGCACTTACCGTTAAATGCTGGAACAACCAGGCTCGCATAATATTTGTGGCCACCTTTGGAAAAATCCCTCGTTTCTTCTGACGTTTTAAATCACTCCTTGAGTCCGATTCCAAATCGTCCATTGCGTCCTTTTGGGAGTCTGCGGTTTTATACGGGAGAAATATTGAAGAGTTCAGATGGTCTGACATTTGTTCAAACTGGTTCGGATAGAAATGGTATACGTTATTCAAGATATAACTTAGTTTATCCAAAGAACAACTCCTGTCGATCGAACTAATCCACCTGGTATCGAGTTACATAAGGGAGTTGGGCGTTTGTTTACGGAGGTGGAAATGATCGATTAACGGTATAACCGAGTTAGCCAACTGATCGATCGGTAGCTGGAACGTCGGGTTCAATCAAGGTTCCGAGCCTCAATCAATGCTACTTGGAAATAACGGCTTATCTAGTCCAGGCGTGAGAGATCCCGGACGGAGGTGTGGTGGGTACATACGCTTGCCATGTGGCAGGTGTGGGACGTCTCATTCAGTCCGGTTGCTCAAATTTTCGGTCGCAGATGGAAGCCCAAGTGCTTTGTTACAATGTGAGTGGCTTTACAGCATATAACACCGACAGATGGTTATGAAGTGTCAACCCGTCAACCGTCTGCCACATTGTGGTGTGCCTGCGTTATCATTTGACTTCAAGTGTTAAACAAACAGGCAAACATAAGCAACTGTTATGTTTACATTCGTGTGGAATGTGGTTGATCGTATATGTGTTTGTCTACAACGGTAGCCAACTCAAGCGGGACAGAACACCAACAACCAAGATAAGGAAATTCCCACCTTCCTCCTGGATAATGTAGAGTGGGCTGTGGTATTCATGAGGAGCCGAAGAACCTAACCATATGGGTCCGGTGATGTTGTTATAAACACGAACGGCACAAACGTGGAGATTAGGCAACTCACTAACCAACTAAGCAAATCGGCTGGTGACGCAAATGATTTGAGCTACCTTTCAGGAAGACCAATTAACAGCCGCTGATCGCACCACAACTGAAGCTGAAAATGGTGTTCAGATTCGTAATGTTGCCTGTCCCGGAGGGTAAGCAGTTAAGCTTTCTAGCATCAATGGTACCAAACGGCTAAATTTGGTCTTCAGTGTTTACTACAAAGGCAACTGTTTAGCCTCGGTATTTCCAGGTATTTCTAGGACCGACTGAGGGCCTCGACCTTTGCTGGGTCAAATTCCCTACTTTGCAACGAGCACCCCTCACCCACAAAAGAATATGCCGTAAAGTTTACAAGGAGGTCAGTTGTTGATATCTATGGAATTCCAGATAAATAGGAGAACTTTTTCGAACCCGGTTATCCTTCAAACATTGAACTCATCTCCCGTAGCTAAGCTGTTCAGATGGTATCATTGAATACATCCGAATAGGTTTCGCAACTCCAACGGATGACTGTGGCATACGCAGGACGTATTCGGATCTGCAAGGGTCCGATACGCACTGACATCAAATGCCTGAAGAGTTGGGGTCTAAAACAAATGTTCCAATCACTCATTTTCTTCCGAGAAACATGTACGTAGGTTATCAGAACAAAGGCTGGTGATCTTTTCGGCAGTAGGAGTCACCACTAATACTTTAGTAAGGGTTTATCGATTATGTCCGTCATTCTGCACGCAGCTCAAACTACCTTCAGTCGGCATATCTAGCAGGTTAACTAAATTGTACCAAATCCGGCAGGCTTCCCTTGTAGCATTAGGTTGAGACTTCTGATTATGGGGAAAACAGTACAGTATCAAGGAAACAGATCAATCCACTAGTGTAAATGATCGCTTCGTGTAATTTGACAGCGTCAAATGGGCTCTCTGAGTGTTATTTCTCTAGGCTGATGTAGCTAAGAAATTGATTATGCCATTTTCCGGTAAGCTGCCATGTTTTCTTCGAAAGATCATTTGAAGCCATGCTTGATGCCGAAACTGATCTGGGATAGCTTAGATTTTTGTTCTTTCGGTTTCGTGGTTCAGAATACCGCCAGAGAGTCCGAAAAACTATTCAGGGACACGAGTCCAATTGATGGAGCTTGAAGCTGTGCCGTGGACAGCCTTCTGTTGTCAACTTAGATTTCTGGTGCTGAATAGTGAGGTTATCGAAATGAAAATCATTTTATGGATGTATGAGATGATGCCGTGATAACAGCCATCAGTAGAACAACAACATCATCATCATAGACAGCATGCCTTCAGTGTTTAACACTGATGCTTCACTGCCATACAACCATGATTTATTTGAAAGCTGCATTGTAAAGAAAAGAGTAAAGGTGGACGGGGAAGGGACTTAGTGCTAGCCCACCACAATCATTCCGAGGTGCCTACACCTACAGACATTCACTCAGGCAATCTGGATAGAAACTGACAACAAGAACGCCACTGACATCGGTTGGCAGCCATATCTTGTAGTGTCTCTAACCAGGCACAGTGAGGATCACGCAGATCCCATCCTGGACAGAACCCAAGCGTTTCTTGATCCCCTTCATACTCCTCTGCCAAGTCAAGGGTTGGCCACCTCTCTGTTTAAGCCACTCTGAGTTGGGCCTGGAAAACAGCACTCTCTTCGGCAAACGATGGTTCGACATACGCAACAACAACAACAACGGTAGAACAACAGCAGAATGCGATGTAACTAGCTACAATCTGAGCCGCTTGAAATTTCCCCAAAGATCTCTTTACGTTACACTGTTCGCCTATTTAGTTCCGAGTGGCATATAACTGAAACAGCGACCACTTGGATGGAGGGACACATCATATAATATGGTCATATTTTGAAGAAAGTAAGACACCTGCTTCTACCACCACGATCTCCGGATTATTGCGTCCTAGACCGCACCATGATGCGTGAACTTCTTCTCTCTTAGACTCTTACTCACTTGCACACGGTAACTCGATGCTACGCAAAAGCTGACAAATTCTAACGGAATTTCCTCTTCTTTTTCTTTCATATGATATTTTAGCTCGCCATAGAGGAACTATCTGAAGTTATTCAAGACCGGTCTCCCCTTATTGGGGTCCATCAGTTAGGCGCAGTCCCCGAGTTTCCGTCAACATTATGTCTACTTGAACTCGAATTGGACTGATTTCGAGAAGTACACTCGTTTACAAATCAATTTGGTTTTCACGAGAGACCCAACTGGATCTCTCGTTTATGATTTCTTCAACTGAGCGTGCTGCACACAGTCCGCCTCATGATTCAGTTGGCACGATTCTCGAGATATCTCAGTATATTTTCATTAATGAAACTACCCACAAGGTTGCTGAAAACTCTTCGACAGCCTGCGACCACTTTCGCCCTTCTTGGGTTCAAGTAGATCATAAGGTTGACGGAAACTCGGGGACTGCTCTTACCTGATGAGCCCCAAGAGGGGCGAAACCGGTCGTAGAGTTTTCAGCAACCTTGTCAGTAGTTTCCTTTATGAAAATATGCTGCGATATCTCGAGTATCGTGCTAACTGAATCATAAGGTGGCCTGTCTGCAGCAAATTCAGTTGTAAAATATCATTAACGAAGAATACAGTTGAGTCACCCATGAAAACCAAATTGATTTGCAAATGAGTGTATTTCTCGAACTCTCTGATGTGTCGATTACCGATTTCTACCGGCAAACTGGTAGTGGACACAGTAGGCCCTTAAATCTTGAAAACTGTTGCGGGTTAGATGAGTCCGAGTAACATACCAATACGGAAAGCTTTTTAAGCGCCTGTGATTGTATGCTAAGTTGGAATGCTCTCAGTATACAGTAAAACCGAAAGTTATGGAATCATTGGAAACTCGATAGATGACGTATAACAATCATAAAGCCGTTCAATAGTCTACAAGTGATATTTTAACTAGGGGCTTACGAACCGTACGGTGCTACACCAAAGCGAACTTTTAATCTGCAGAGCGTACGCCTGTTTATATCACAAGGTCAAAAGCAACGGATAAAAAAGAGGTGGCAAGATAGCAGTTCATTAGTCTCGAAACTGTTTGCAGCTATCCCTGAACACATCAAATAATATTACGTTTACCACATGCACATTGGGCAAGATCTGAAAGAGCGTACTCCTACGGCAAGTGGGCTTTTGCTTATTCTTATGAATAAGTGCCATCAGGGACGGCCAACACGGTACAACCAATCCTACTTCGTGAAGCTTTGCTGTTATCCTCCGTGTGGTACCAACAGTAAGGCCAACGAAGATAGCCATGTGTTTACTTAATTTTCGTTAGGTTTACCAACAGTAATGCACGGTGTTTTTAACCAGCTCCAGTTGTTTTGTAGGTGTGACTCCCTGATCTGATCAGATCGCACTTAGTGCGATGAGTGATTCGGTCCAATCGGACCAAGAAGTCCGAATTCGAGGTGTAAATGACTTGCGCACAGGCAAATCAGCTGGGTTTTACGAGTTACTGTGCTGATTTTGATTACAAACGCCAGGTAAAGAATGTGGTTCTCTAGTGATCCAGTGAACCGAGTTGCATTTGTACCTCGGTACAACCAGTTATGTGAAACTTCGAGAATGCGGATTCACAATAAATCCAGGCGTAATGTTTCGGGGGCTAGTTAGACCCGTTTTTTGCTCTTATTTGGATCATATACATGTGCGCGCACCTTTCGAGAGAATACTTCGTTCCCCCAAGGTGAACGATCTGTGTAGATGTCAATAGACTGGATGCTTTACAACATTCCTCGTCAACCAGTCTGGTTTAGGATGTTTTTTCCCTCTTGGTAGTCACCAACTACTCTCCACTGATAATCCGGACGATCCTCAAACCCTCATTCTGAGCAAGCGGCCCTTCTGGAGGAACTATTATACAGGGAGACTGGCATCAGCGGTCGTGAATACAAAAACGTGGTGAAATCGTTGTTCAACTAATCTTCGACTCTTTCGGAAGCAGGATCCACACTTCTGTCCTAAAATTTCTCACTATGATTATCCGTGTTCTAGTACCATTGGGGGCCCTGCGTGCCTTTTATCCCTCTTGAAAACATAACTACGGCAAACTTTTCTAAGTCCGGGCGCGTCTCCGTGTGGTTTTTTTTACTCTGAAGTCTCAGAGCCTGGGTTGAAAAATCCGCCGGTGTTAGAACGAGCAGTGGGTAGAAAAAATCATTGCTAC